TTTTATTTATTTATTCATGAGAGATACAGAGAGAGGCAGAGACACAGGCAGGGGGAGAAGCAGGCTCCATGCAGAGAGTCCAATGTGGGACTCGATTCCCGGCCTCTGGGGTCACGCCCTGGGCCAAAGGCAGAGGCTCCACTGCTGAGCCACCCAGGCGTCCCAGGACTTTAATTTTTAACATGGGTGGGACCCAGTTTTCAGCAGAGGAGTGACATGGTTTGATACACACGTAAATAGGATCACCCTGGTCACTGTTCAGACTAGACCAAGGAAGACCATTTAGAAGTCTACACCAGGGATCCCTGGGTGGTGCAGCGGTTTAGCGCCTGCCTTTGGCCCAGGGCGCGATCCTGGAGACCTGGGATGGAATCCCATGTCGGGCTCCCGGTGCATGGAGCCTGCTTCTCCCTCTGCCTGTGTCTCTGCCTCTCTCTCTCACTGTGTGCCTATCATAAATAAATAAATAAATAAATTTAAAAAAAAATAAAGATTAGAAGTCTACACCAAAAGAAGCAGGGGAGGGGATGAGAAGTGTCCAGATGCTCAATCACCTGAGCCAATCAGAAGCTCCCAGAGGTACCCATTTGAGAGAAGTTTCATAATAATTTGATGAATATGGTTCGGCTTAGGAAACTATTAAGTACCCAAGTGGAGAGGATATTCTGTAGGCAGCTACATATGAGTCTTGAATTCAGGAGAAGACATCCACGCTAATAATATACACTTGAGAGTTGTCAGGGTACAAATGGTGTTTAAAGTCTTGAAAGAGATCATCCAGGGAATGAGCATAAACAGAGAAGGGATGATCAGAATACTCCACCATTAGAGACTAAGGAGATAAAGAGAACTCAGCCCGAAAGGGGAGGATGGGGTTGACAAGGAAGGGCCAGTGAGGCAGGGGGAGAAGCAGGGGAGTGGCATCTTGGAACCCAGGCGAAACTAAAGTGCAAGGAGGGAGTGTCAGGTGCCACGGAAAGGTCAACATGACTGAGGAATGACCACTGAACCTGTGTGCTATTTTCTAAGCACGTTCTTCCCTACTCCACGCAAAGTACTTCTTTTCTTTTTAATCCAGGTAAAATCCCAGTATTGTCCAATGAATACACATAGGTTTTTATTTAATGCAGCTCTAACCGTGTCTCAAAAAACAAAAACCAAAAATCAATGTGCTTAATCCGGACACAACAGACTTTACACAGCAAATAATGCTGAACAAATGCTTTGTCTGGTTGAATTCATTGTGTCTCTGAAACAAAGTTCCCAACCAAGTCTTGCTTGCGCTCAGTGGGGGGGATCAGAGAAATGCTCCATCTAAATGTATTTCTTTTGTTCTGCCATAAAGTAGCAATTATTCTTGAACTCCTTTCCCTCTTTACTCAAACATCCTACCAGAGGATGACCCTAAATTTCCACACTCACCCCGCTTTGAAATCAAAGCAGAACACAATCACATCCAAAACTTGGATACTAAAGGGATATACGGGGGGGGGGGGGGGGGGGGGGGGGCGGGGCGGGCCTGGGCACCTCCAACACTTCAGCATCTGACTTCCACTGGGTCATGATCTCAGGGTCCTGGGATCAAGCCATTTTGGGCTTCCTGCTCAGCAGGGAGTCTGCTTCTCTGTCTCTCTCCCCCCCACACACACCCCATCCCTCCCCATTGCCCGTTCTCTCTAGGGATATGCTATTTCCTACCCTTTCTTTCCTTTGCTGATTCAAAAACTGCTTTATTTACATTTTCTCCTTAGAATCTCTATCTAGGGCAGCCCCGGTGGCTCAGCGGTTTAGCGCCACCTTCAGCCCGGGCATGATCCTGGAGACCCGGATCGAGTCCCACGTTGGGCTCCCTGCATGGCGCCTGCTTCTCCCTCCGCCTGTGTCTCTGCCTCTCTCTTTCTCTCATGAATAAATAAATAAAATCTTAAAAAAAAAAAAAAAGAATCTCTATCTGGAAGTACAATTTCTGATGTCTTTACCTTTGAGAATTACTGCTACAAAATAAGACTTGAACTTTCTGTGCTCTAGTAAGCATAATCAAGTCTCAATAACGTACACTTCTGAAACAGTAGAACAAGAATCACCAAAAACTGGATCAGGCCTTTCTGAAATACCTTCAACGTCTGAATGGACTGTGGGCCTTTGCTTCCAAGTTACCCTTTTCTGCCCTCCACCTTGCAATGTGCCAACTTGGGACAGCCTGAATGCCAACTTCCCTAGGTAGCCTTTCTGGATTCCCCCCAAGGCTGAATAAGGATCCTCTTCGGAGCCCACAACATCTTCTGCTTACTCATATTCTAATACTTCAATGTACTGTACTGCAAATCTGTTTACCTGTCACTGTCCTACTCCAGATCATAAACATTTTGCAAGCGAGGACAGATCTCAAGTCATTTTTGCATCCTTAGTGTTTGGGACATATCAAGCAATCAGTAAGTATTTGCTGACTGCGGTGTCCAACTGGCTAGGATGGTAGAGCATGGGACTCTTGATCTCAGGCTCCTGGATTCAAGCCCCATGCTGAGAGTACAGTCGATGTAAAAAAAAATAATAAAAGTATTTGCTAACATAAAATTTGACCCGGAATACTTTATGTGATTTTTGTAGCACATTTTCCTTGATAAACCAATTAAACTCAAGGAGACCAATATTAAAATTACTGGCATCCTGGAGACCCGGGATCGAATCCCACGTTGGGCTTCCGGTGCATGGAGCCTGCTTCTCCCTCTGCCTGTGTCTCTGCCTCTCTCTCTGTGACTATCATAACTAAATAAAATAAATAAATAAATAAATAAAATAAAATTACTGGCATCTGGGGCACCCAGGTGACTCAGTCATTTGAGCATCTGCCTTCGGCTTGGGTCATGATCCTAGGATCCTGGAATCGAGCCCTATGTGGGGCTTTCTGCACAGCGGGGAGACCGCTACTGCTTCTCCCTCTGCCTGCTGCTCCCCTTGCTTGTGCGTGCTCTGTCAAATAAATAAAAAATTACTGGCATCTAATTACATTGCCAGCTATAGCAGAAACAAAGAAATTTCCCCTACCTGATATTGGAAAGAGAGGATAAAAAAAGAGACGTGGTGCTCAGGAGTCCTCCTACCAGCTGTTCTTTCTTGGTGCAAGACAGCAGCCTCTGCTTCCCACACTACATGAGGGCCAAATGGACCTCTGAATGGTTTTCTTCACATCCCTTCCACGGATCCTGTGTTCTCCTCTTCCCTGGTCCTTTGTTTTTCCTTTTCTTACCTTTTTTCCTTCCTCATTTTCTATACTTTGCATTAGCACTCTTGTTATTTTCCCTTTAACTTTTCTCTGCACTCCCTTCCTTCGTGCTTTATTTCAGTCAGAGTAACCCTGGGGAATCCATTGGGATTACTTTCTCCAACTAGGAGAACTTAGGACAAGAACGTTGCTGTAATCTCCCAGAAACTTCTGTAAGGCACACCAATGTATTTCTTATGTTTCTGAGGAACCCAGTAATAACCCCCTAACAGCAGCACAAGGTCATCAGTATATAAGATTATTATTACTACTCTCGTTACTAACCACAAAATGGGTAGGAAATACTACTTAGGTTAGGAGCACCTGGACGGCTCAGTAGGTTAAGTGTATGATTCTTAGTTTTGGCTCAGGTTCTGATCTCAGGATCCTAAGATTGAACCCCAAGCTGGGCTCTGTGCTCAGCACAGGGTCTGCTTAAGGTTCTCTCTCCCTCTCCCTCTGCCCCTCCCCCTGCCTCTCTCTTGTGTATGGGCTCGCTCTCTAAAATAAATAAATCTAAAGAAAAAAAAAAAAACACACACACACACACACACACCCACAAGTAATAGGGCACCTGAGTGGCTCAGTCCATTAAGAATCTGCCTTTGGGGCAGCCCCAGGGGCACAGTGGTTTAGCGCCACCTGCAGCCCAGGGCGTGATCCTGGAGACCCTGAATCAAGTCCCACGTCGGGCTCCCTACATGGAGCCTGCTTCTCCCTCTGCCTGTGTCCCTGCCTCTCTGTGTGTCTCTATGAATAAATAAAATCTTAAAAAAAAAAAAAAAAAGAGTCTGCCTTTGGCTCAGGTCATGAGCTCAGGGTCCTAGGACTGATCCCTGATTGGGGTCCTTGTTCAGTGAGAAGTCTGCTTCTCCTTCTCCGTCTCCCTCTGCTCCTCCCCACCACTCATGCTCTCTCTCAAAGAGATAAAGAAAATCTTATAGAGAAAAAAGACAAGTAGTAATTTAAAAAATAAGCTGGTGAACATCACTTAAAATATGCACATTTTATACATATATATATACACACACACATATGTACCTTAGGTTGTCCTCTGTAGTAACCCAGAAAGTGACAGTCAAGGCCCTCTCAACTTACTATAATTTCAAACAAAAGAAAAATGAAACGCTAAGCCTAAACGGGTTTTGAAAAAATGCTGCTTGTTGGTAGGGCAAATTTCAAAAGCTGTAGTATACTTGCTGGACCAGGTAGATTAGGGGGAGAAAACGTGGTCCCTGCCTCCAGAGTTTCCAGAGGAATAATTCCTACCACTTCCAAATCCATAAATGTAAACATTAGAGAAAAAGAGAAAAGAGGTTTTCTTAAACCAAAAAAAATCAGAAACCTAACCTAAGTGGCCTGGATGCTCCAAGACAGAAAAATTAAGCCTGGATTAAAAGCTTTTGGAGTTAAAAATAGAAGTATTCTATATGTCAGAGCACCAGAGGCCAGGAAGAACAAGACACAACCAGAAGTCAGAAGATCCAGCTCAGGTACCGACAAGCTGTGTAACTTGGGCAAATCCCTTCACTCTTCAATCCACAGATGGCTCTTCCATGAAGTGGGCATAATAATACTTTCCTGGCAAAGCTGTTTATGATGATTAAGTAAATAACGTGAAGTCACTTCAAAATATTTCACATAACGTGCCAATGTAAAGTCAAAGGAAGCAAAAACCCTTCCTCTGAAAGGAATATAAAACCCGTGGTTCAATTTCCAAAGTCTAGGCCTGACTCACCTTCACAACCTCATTAAAATCCTTAACTAACACGCAGTCATTCAAATGGGAGAAGGAGAGTCATGCATGAGACTCCAGAGGTGGGGCAGCGACTACTTAGTCAATTGTTCTGTATCTCAGTGGCTTCATCTGTAAAATGGGTGGTGTAGAATTCACACAAATATCTACAAGATAGTGCAGGTCTGAGGAAGGGAGTGGAGAATTTACGGTAAGTGAGTAAAAACGTTTACATAATCCTCCCCCCTCCACCCCCAAGACAAAGAACCAAAATCATCAAATATTACTTATTCCCCAGACAGAATTAGAAGACAGAATCAATCCCTTGTTTTACAGATGGGAACCCCACAGCCTTGAACTGGGTTATAACCCTCTCAAAGCTAGACACTGGCAGAGCTGGAGCCACACACCCCCCCAAGGCCAATGGCCTCTTTACCAGATTTCCGGGTCACCCACAGCACCCGTAGCCTATATAACACACATTACAATTGAATCAACAGCTAAATGTGGCCTATGGGGGACAGAGAGGGCTGCAGGACTCAGGACTCAGGACGGGGTATGGGACCGAGGCTGAGAGCTAGGAAGCAAAAGTCTGTATTGCGATTGAGGATAAGATCCTAGGATTACTCAGATAAGAAAAACTTAATGGAAATTTTCAAACAAAAAAGGTTTAAAATAGGCAGTCTTGGGAAGAAAGACCCAATGTATCCAATTTTCTTTAGGGAAAATAAATGTGTGGCAGATTTAGAGGACCAGAGTATTTTGAATCCGGCTATAATTCTTAATTACATACAATTTTTCTTGTTGTCTCCTGAGTTTTTTTACTAATAATTCCAATTCCCTCAACAATTCTGTCTCCCCTATAAGATGACCCTCCACAGACTACATCTTGCATAGTAGTAAATACACAGACCCTGAATTCAGGCTGCCTAGATTCAAATCCTCCTTTTACTACTTTGTAACTGTGCCTTAGACAAAATCCTTCACCTCTGTGTATCTCTGAAAATGGAGATGAACATCACTCCCATCTCAGAGGTCTTTGTAAGGATTAAATGTGTATGTTACTCATTTGGGTCACAACCTAATAATGGGTGTTTCATCATTTTAGGTTTTTTTTTTTCATCATTTTAGTTTTGATGCGCCTTTTTATTTTGCATTGAAGAACAGAAACTGCTAGAGTACACTGCGCTAAGAATAAGTATTGTTTTGCAAACATTTTGTTTCTTTTTTTTTTTTTTTAAATTTATTTACGATAGTCATACAGAGAGAGAGAGAGAGAGGCAGAGACACAGGCAGAGGGAGAAGCAGGCTCCATGCACCGGGAGCCTGACATGGGATTCGATCCCGTGTCTCCAGGATCGCGCCCTGGGCCAAAGGCAGGCGCCAAACCGCTGCGCCACCCAGGGATCCCGAACATTTTGTTTCTGTGTTATGTACTTGTGCACGTGATTTATTTTGTAAAATGCAGCTTACGGTGGTTTGCTTTTAAAACTGTTGGGGAGGGGGATCCCCGGGTGGCTCAGGGGTTTGGCACCTGCCTTTGGCCCAGGGTGCGATCCTGGGGTCCCTGGATCGAGTCCCCCGTCGGGCTCCTTGCATGGAGCCTGCTTCTACCTCTGCCTGGGTCTCTGCCTCTCTCTCTCTCTCTCTCTCTCTATGCCTATCAATGAATAAATGAAAAGTAAAAAAAAAAAAATCTTAAAAAAAATAAAAATAGGGCAGCCCTGGTGGTGCAGTGGTTTGGCGCCGCCTGCAGCCTGGGTGTGATCCTGGAGGCCCGGGGTCGAGTCCCACATCGGGCTGCCTGCGTGGAGCCTGCTTCTCCCTCTGTCTGTGTCTCTGCCCCTCTCTCTGTGTCTATGAATAAATAAAAATCTTAAAAAAAATAAAAATAAAATAAAAATAAAAATAAAAATAAAATAAAAATAAAACTGTTGGGGAAAAGAAAAAAAAAACGTTGGGGCATGTGGCTGGCTCGGTTGACCGAGTGTGAGTGTGCAACTCTTGATGTGGGGGTTCTGAATTCAAGCCCCACACAGGGTGTAGAGAGGACTTAAAAATAAAATATCTAAAATAAGAAAACATCAGGGGCGCCCGGGGGGCTCAACAGTTGAGCGTCGGCCTTTGGCCGAGGGCGTGACCCCGGGGTCTCAGGATCGAGTCCCACGTGGGGCCTGCTCCTCCCTCTGCCTGGGTCTCTGCCCGTTTCTCTCTCTGTCTCTCATGAATAAATAAGTAAAATCTTAAAAAAAAAAGAAAAAATAAGGGCATATCCCGGCCCCCGAGGTAACGTGAAGTAAAGCTCCCAGCGGCGCGGGGCCGAGGAGGGCCGCGGCGCGGCACCGTGGCTGCCGTGTACCCACCTGCAGCGCCTTTGTGGAACGGCGCTCGGGCAGGCCTGCGGGAGGCCACCGGGCACAGGCTGCTGGTGCGGCCTGCACGTCGTCGTTAGGCCAAACCGAGGAGCTCCTCCCAGGCCTCCCAGGCCTCCCAGGCCTCCGGCGCTCCGTCAGGGGAAGGCGACGCAGGCCTGGCGCCCGGGGAGGTTCCCAGCGTCTCACGGCTGGGGGCGGCGCGGGCGGCAAGGGAGTCACCCCGCGGTCCCGCCGACACCTCAGCCCCGGGGCCGCGGCGGGCGGCGGGCGCACGGGGAGCTCCCCCGCGGAGCTCACCTCACCTCGGCGTCCGGGCCGCGCTCCCGGTCTCGCCGCCGGCCCGGCGACCGAGGCCGCGCACGTGCTCCCGCGGCGGCGGCGTTGGCGTTGGCGGCGTTGGCGGCGTTGGCGGCGTTGGCGGCGTTGGCGGCGGCGGCCTGCGCTCCGGCCCTCGGTCTCGGCCTCGGGGGCTCCGTCTGTGGGGAGAGCGGCAGAGACAACAGCTACGTCAGAGGCGCGCGAAAACGGAGCCCGCGTGCGGCCGCCTGGCGCCTCGCGCCCTCCCCACGGCTCGCCCCGCCTGCGGGGAAACTGAGGCCCGCCCGCGCGCGGGGCCCCGGGGCAACGCGCTTTCCTCCTGTTTTACTCCCTGCGGCCCGTGTGAGCGGCCCGTTCCGCGGCCTCCCGGCTCAGCGCAGCCGCGGGCCCCTCGCAGCCCGGCAGGGCGCCCTTGTCCCCGCGCCGCCGGCCCCCGCGTGGGGGCGGAAGACGCACGAGGCCTGGGCGCCGGGCCCGCACACGTCTCCACCTAAGCGAGTGGGGGACACGCGCTACGACCCGGCCGCCGGGGTCGCGGCAGGGCGGGCGGCGCGCCCGGGAGCTCTCCCCGCCCCCCCTCCCGGCGGCGACGAATCCAGGCCACGTGCCGCCATTTTGTGTTCTGGAAACATGGCGGCCACGCCGCGGTGGGGGGGGGGCAGGGAGGGCGCCACGTTGGCCGCCGGCCCCGAGGCCCCCCGCCGCGCCGCGCTCGCCTGCTGGGCGCCGCCCGGCCCGGCTCGGCCGAGGCAGCGGCGGGGGGACGGCGGCGAACGCACACGGGCCGCCGCGCCGCCTTCCCTCAGCGAGAGGGACGCGCGCGAGCGAGCCGGCGGGGAAGGCCTTCCAAGATGGCGGGCCCGGCGGGGGCCGCCCCGAGGGGAGCGTCGCGGGCAGGGCCCTCCGCACCGCCCGGCGCGGCCGCACGTGCGGCCATTGTCTTCAGGGCCTGACGAGGCCGCCACGACAGGAGGGACCCCGGGAGGCGGGGTTCCCGCAGGCTCGGCCGCAAGGAACTTGCAAAATGCAAACAAAGCATTATGTAAATGGACGCCATTCCGGCGGTCGTTTTTTTTTTTTTTTTTTTTTCTTCTTCTTCTTTTCCTTCCCTGCCCCCTCCCCGCTCCCGGCCGTGTTTCCACAACTCCCCAGAACCCTCGGGCGGGGGTCGGCGGGGCCCTCCGCGGCCGCTCGCGGGCGCGGGGGGAGGGGCGGGGGCGCCCGCGCTGCGGAGACCGAGGCCCCACGTGCCCGCCCGCGCGCGCGCACCCGCGCCGCAGGCCTCGCCCGGCCGCCCCTCCCCCCCGGAAGAGCGCGGCCGCCCCGCCCGCCGCCCCACACCCTGGCGCAGGCGCGCTGGCCGCCTCACGCGCACGTTTTAAACCCGCGGCGTCCCGGCTGCCGCCTGCAGTGGCCGCCGGGGCTGCCCGTGTCGCTCCGCTCCCCGACGCCCGTCCCGAGGCGGGAAAGTGACGTGTCGCCCCCGTTCCCCACACTGACCCCGTCCCGGCGCGCGCCGGCGCCGCCCGCGCCCGCCGCACGCATGTCGGCCTGGAGGCCTCGCCGGGCTCGCCGGGCTCGCCGGGCTCGCGGCGCCCGCCCGCCCGCCCGCCGGCCGGGGCCCTCCCGGCAGCGCGCGGCGGCCCGGGGGGGCGGGCTTGAGCGCGGGCGCGCGGCGGGCGGCGCAACCTCGTGACCTAAAAAGGACGGGTCCTCGCTTTTTTTTTCCAAGGGGTCCTGCGCGGCAAGCACTTCCGGGGTCAGAGGGTACGCGGGGTTGAAAGCGGGCTTCCCGCCCCGCCCAGACCGCCGAGGCTGCCGCCGGAGTCGCCACCGCCGCGCCCTCGCCCACCCGCCCGCCCGCCGCTCCCGGCCCCGCTCGCCCCCGCCGCCGCCGCCGCCCGCCCCCGGACGACGCCGCGGCCTCCCGCCCGCGCCCGCTCGCCCCCGCGGCCCTCGCTCGCCTCGCGCCGGCCGTTCCGGGCCTACAGCCCCCTCCCCCCGCCCGCCGCCCGCCGCCGAGCCTTGACCACGTAACGAGCCCAACTCCCCCGAACGCCGCCCGCCCGCCGCCCGCCCGCCGCCCGCCCGCCGCCCGCCGCTCGCCATGGATGCCGGAGTGACTGAGAGCGGACTCAACGTGACTCTCACCATTCGGCTGCTCATGCACGGGAAGGAAGTGGGGAGCATCATCGGGAAGAAAGGGGAGTCGGTGAAGAGGATCCGCGAGGAGAGCGGCGCGCGGATCAACATCTCGGAGGGCAACTGCCCCGAGCGGATCATCACCCTGACGGGCCCGACCAATGCCATCTTCAAGGCCTTCGCCATGATCATCGACAAGCTGGAGGAAGACATCAACAGCTCCATGACCAACAGCACGGCGGCCAGCAGGCCCCCGGTCACCCTGCGGCTCGTGGTGCCGGCCACGCAGTGCGGCTCGCTGATCGGGAAGGGCGGCTGCAAGATCAAGGAGATCCGCGAGAGCACGGGCGCCCAGGTGCAGGTGGCGGGGGATATGCTGCCCAACTCGACCGAGCGGGCCATCACCATCGCGGGCGTGCCGCAGTCGGTCACCGAGTGTGTCAAGCAGATCTGCCTGGTCATGCTCGAGACGCTCTCCCAGTCCCCGCAGGGGAGAGTCATGACCATCCCGTACCAGCCCATGCCGGCCAGCTCGCCGGTCATCTGCGCGGGCGGCCAAGACCGCTGCGGCGACGCGGCCGGCTACCCGCACGCCACCCACGACCTGGAGGGGCCGCCCCTGGACGCCTACTCGATCCAAGGACAACACACCATCTCTCCGCTCGACCTGGCCAAGCTGAACCAGGTGGCAAGACAACAGTCTCACTTTGCCATGATGCACGGCGGGACGGGATTCGCCGGAATTGACTCCAGCTCCCCCGAGGTGAAAGGCTATTGGGCAAGTTTGGATGCGTCCACTCAAACCACCCATGAACTCACCATTCCAAATAACTTAATTGGCTGCATAATCGGGCGCCAGGGCGCCAACATCAATGAGATCCGCCAGATGTCCGGGGCCCAGATCAAAATTGCCAACCCCGTGGAAGGCTCCTCTGGTAGGCAGGTTACTATCACTGGTTCTGCTGCCAGTATTAGTCTGGCCCAGTATCTAATCAATGCCAGGCTCTCCTCCGAGAAGGGCATGGGGTGCAGCTAGAACGGTGTAGGTTCGCTTACAAGCCGCCGCCACCACCACCACCCCACCCGCCCCCCCCCTCCCCACCCCCTTTCTGCTGTTTTCCCATGATCCAACTGTGTAATTTCTGGTCAGTGATTCCAGGTTTTAAATAATTTGTAAGTGTTTCAGTTTCTACACGACTTTATCATCTGCTAAGAATTTAAAAAAAAAAAATCACATTTCTCTGTTCAGCTGTTAACGCTGGGATCCATATTTAGTTTTATAAGCTTTTCCCTGTTTTTAGTTTTGTTTTGGGTTTTTGGCTCATGGATTTTATTTCTGTTTGTCGATAAGAAATGTTAAGAGTGGAATGTTAATAAATTTCAGTTTAGTTCTGTAATGTCAAGGATTTAAAAATTAAAAAATGGATTGGTTAAAAAATGCTTCATATTTGAAAAAGCTGGGAACTGCTATCTTGAACTCTTTGTTGGTGGTTTTTTTTTTTTCTCCTTCCCCACCCTCCAATCCCTTTAGCATTAAGGCCTTTGTAGGGAGAAGGGTGGGCCCGTCCCTGGTGTTCTCTCCAGCCCTTTTCACCTACTGGTAGGATTCCATTCCCTTTCTGTCCCAACAAAGGAACACGGCAGGCTGGGCCTGCTCTGGGATATTTGCAGACAGTGGGGCTCCCCGGGAGGGTGACATCCCTCCAGCCAAGTTCCAGAGAGAGGCCTCTGCCCATTTCTCTGGTAGAAAACAAGGGTTTCCCCAGATGGGGAAAAAAAAAAAAAAAAAGTATGCCCATTCGGTAGGAACTCCGATGAATGGCAGCGCGTCCTCCCGGCCGGCCGGCCCCACCCCCCCCCCCAAACCAATCTCAACGGGGAAAACTCTTAGCCAGGAACAAAAAAAAAAAAAAATGTTCGGAGGTGGGAGGAGTCTGGGGGGGGCGCCCAGAGAGGAGGTGGGGGAGGGGAGGGGCTGACGTGGGGGGAAGGGGAGGGTCGGGGGTGGGTCGGAGGATTTGGAAGAGGGCAGGGGTGGTGATCCGAGGGGAGGGCTCTGGGGCGCCCGGGCCCAAGGGGGATGGTACCGGCGGGGTGCACGTGGCACGCATGCACCTGTGGCAAGCCGCCTGTCAGGATGTTATTACACCTGCCAAGTGGTGGATCCAGGAACAAAAGAGGCCCAGCTTCTAATTCTTCAGCTGTGGGCAGCGTTGGAAAAATCATTATACCGGGAAATAATCCTGCCTCAGTGGGGCAGCCCTCGCAGGCCGGGATGGAGGCAGATCCACCGAGGGTAGCCTAGGGATGGGGCGGTAGGAACGCAGGTCCCCGTCCCGCCCCTCCACTGTGATGACAAGGCCGCACTTTCCACAAAACCGCAGGAGGCGGCTAGCTTTGGGCGCCGCTGCTCATCCTGGGCAGGAAGACCGGGCAGGTCTTGCTGCGAAGGCCCAGTAAGCTCCCGTGCACGCCGGCCGTGGGGCTAGACCGGACTTCGGAGGAGAACTTCTCTGCCATTAGGCAAGGACTCTAGAAACAGTAACACAAGACAATGGACAATTAGGTGCCAAAGTGCTTAGTTCAAACCCGGGCGCTGTGGGAGATCCCTAACAGCCGAGAAAAATTCCTGTGGGAGGGGAATGTTCCACACAATAAACGTCTGTTGAGGCTTATCCTCCGCAGGCAACCTGCCTCCTTCCGAGGTGCCGACGGGCTTCTCAGTCCCGGACGTAGCACCGCGGTCCGCTGTGCGCCTCACCCCTGGACCCGGCCGCCAGGGGCTGAAGGCAACCCACGTTCTGGACCTGAACCGCGGTCACACTTGACTTCTGCCTCTCGTGTGGCCTTGGGCAAATTATTTGACGTCCTCTGTAAAATGGAGGTGTCCCAAGTCTGCACCCCCCGGCTGGTGAAGAAGACGAGCGCGTCCGTGAGGCAGAACGGTGCCTGCGGCGGGTAAACTGGACCTCGGGCCGCAGGAAGCCTCAGGCGAATTTCTGTCCACAGAGTCTTTGGACAGAAAAGACACGTTTTATTTTTTCAAAGATTTTACTCACCTACTTGACAGTACAAGCAGGGGAGGGGCCGAGGGAGAAGCAGGCTCCCCACCGAGCGGGGAGCCCCGTGATGGCGGGGCTGGATCCCGGGACCCTGGGACCGTGACCTGAGCCCAAGGCAGCCGCTCAGCCAGCTGAGCCAGCCAGGTGCCCCCCGCCCCACCCAAAAGGCAGATACGGAAGAGAGAACAAAGCAGTGTGTATTAATGACAAACAGAGGACAGACAGTTGGACTGAAGGACAGCTAAGGGAGGGCCTAGGGAAGCCCGCAAATGGCTTCATTGTCTTCTAGAGATAAGGAGCACAAGTCAAGTTTTCGTGGAAGAGGGCAGGAGTGAAACATTAAGTTAAACCCTCAACCCCAGGCCGGACGGTTTTTGAGGAGTCCCTAAAATGTGCTGGGTGAAGTGGTCCAAACGCCCTATAAAAAGTAGACCTTGGCTCAGGGCTTTAGCGCCGCCTTCGGGCCGGGGTATCATCCTGGAGACCCCGGGGTCGAGTCCCGCATCTGGCTCCCTGCATGGAGCCTGCTTCTCCCTCTTCTCCCTCTGCCTGTGTCTCTGCCTCTCTCTCTCTTTCTCTCTCTCTCTCTTTCTCTCTCTCTCTCTTTCTCTTTCTCTCTCGAATAAACAAAATCTTAAAAAAAAAAAAAATAGGCCTCAAATTGTCCTCAACCCCTTCCCCTCCCACCCTTTCAAGAGCAAAGGTGGCAATAATTTCTAAAATAATGGGTTAGGCAAGGCCTAGGATGAAGGGCACCTTGGCTGGACTCAAATCAGGAAGAGCAGTTAGAAAACTGCCTCAAGAGATTCTAATCACACCCTGGGGGGGCACCTGGGGGCTCAGTCGGTTAAGCACCTGACTCTTGATTTCAGCTCCAGTCTTGACCTCAGGGTCATGGGATCAACCCCCACATCGGGCTCTGTACTCAGCATAGTGTCTGCTTGAGAATCTCTGTCTCTCTCTCAAATAAATAAATAAAATCTTTAAAAAAAAAAAAAAAAAACAGGCCGAGAAGTAGTATCACTAGGAATACAAGTAGAAAGGAGCCAATGCGAGGGAGAATGAAACTGAGTGTGGAGGCCTGGGAAGGAGGGGCGAGGGGAGCCCTGAGTTCAGACTCGGGGATACGAGTATTTGCAGGGAGAAGTATTCAACAAGCAGGAAGAGACAGACAAACGGAAGGAAAGTCAGAGCTACGGAGAGACCGGGAAATGAGAGGAAAGGGCTAGAGCCTGAGCTCTGGGGTAATGACCTCGTCTACTTGTTCACCACGGTCCCCACAACATATTCGCAGGGGCTCCCTAAGCACCTATAGAATCTTTATCAATCAAAAGTATCTCCAGAATGAGTATAGAAGTAGCCAATGAGGAAGGATTAGTCAAAGCTGGAGAAAACCCAGGACAGTGCCCTTGAGAGCAGTCGAGGAGGGAAGTTTCAAAGCTGACGACAGTAACGCTACTGAGAGGTTTAACAGAATTGATTGAACATTTACTTGCTGCAAAATACTTTGAACTAAAATGTGATGTTTCGGTACAACTGAAAGATGTGCAGCAGCTGATTATAGTGAAAGCACAGTACATGACACAAAGAGCAAAGAGGGGGACACCCTGGTGGCTCAGCGGTTTGGCGTCTGCCTTTGGCCCAGGGCATGATCCTGGAGACCCCGGATCGAGTCCCACGTCCAGCTCCCTGCATGGAGCCTGCTTCTCCCTCTGCCTGTGTCTCTGCCTGTGTGTGTGTGTGTGTGTCTCATGAATAAATAAAAATAAAATCTTTAAGAAAAAAAGAAAACAAAAGAATTAGAGGCACCTGGGTGGCTCCGTTGGTTAAGCAGCTGCCTTCCCCTCAGGTCATGACCCCAGGGTCCTGGGATCCAGCCCCGCGTTGGGCTTCCAGCTCACTGCTTCCCCCCTCCCCCAACCCCCACTCATGATCTCTCTTGTTCTCTCTCTCAAATAAATAAAATCTAAAAAAAAAAAAAGAAGGAAAGAAAACAAAAAATTTATATATTAACAGTTAAGATAAATTGAAATCTACTTTCTAATAGTTTTCTGTTGCTTTTTTTTTTTTTAATTCCTTCCACCCAATCATTTTTAGAAACCACTTGAAGGGGATCCTGAGGAAGATGCTTCCAAAGTCATGGGTATCCTTGGGGAGCAGAATTTCAGAAGAATGAGAGGAGGAAGCCAGATTACCCCAGGAGAGGATGGCCTGGGGTGAGGAAGTGGAGACCAGAGTGAAGATGGCTCGAATGCTTGAGGGTGCAAAGGAGAGAGGAAAATTGGGGAGGGCCGGAGGAAAGATTTTGGTGGGGGAGTTTGTTGTCTTTGGAAGAACTTCACTAAAGACAGGTAATAAGGGGATCCCTGGGTGGCGCAGCGGTTTGGCTCCTGCCTTTGGCCCAGGGCGCGATCCTGGAGACCCGGGATCGAGTCCCACGTCGGGCTCCCGGTGCATGGAGCCTGCTTCTCCCTCTGCCTGTGTCTCTGCCTCTCTCTCTCTGTATGACTATTGTAAATAAAAAAAAAAAAAAAAAAAAAAAATTAAAAAAAAAATAAATAAAGACAGGTAATAAGGAAGCAATAGGAAGTTGAAAAGCTGGTAAGAGCGGACTTGGAGAGGCGCCTGGTTGGCTCAGTCAGAGGAGTGTGACGCGCAGTCTGGGCGGAGAGATGACTTAAATGTTTGTTTTGCTGTTTTTTGGGGGGTTGTTGTTAAGTAGGCTCCACACCTGGCACAGGGCCCAGTGTCGGGCTTGAACTCATGACCCGGAGGTCGAGACCTGAGCTGAGATCAAGAGTCCGACGCTTAACCCACGAAGCTACCCAGGTGCCCTGAGATCACTTAAATTAAAAAAAAAAAAAAAAACACAAAACTTTAAAAAAGAAAAAAGGATTGTCTGGGAGCAGCGAGCGTCAGGTGGCAGGCAGTGTGACTCTTAGAAGTGGATTCATTTTGTCCCCCTCCTACCAGGACTCACCCTACAGGCCCCTGCCCGCCCTGCTGAGGCCGGGAATCAGGAGCCCCCCCAGTTGCTGTGCCTCCGCCTGGCCCGGTCCTGCCACCAGCTGTCAGGCCACCACCACTGCCCCTGGGCCGGCAGGTCTCCCAGCACCCACTGCCCCCGTGTTTAGAGGGCTGGGGGGCTCCTGGGGCCCGGTAGTGAAGGTGGGCCTCAGCCCAGGTCAGACCCCTGCTGCTGCGTCTCCCCTGCCCCCTCGTGACCTCGCTCGCTCGCTCTCGGGTAACTAGATGGGAAGGTCAGAAAGGAACCTGAGGAGGCCGGCCTCGCCCCGCCGGCGCCCCAGCAGCCACCCGCCCGGCCTGGCCCCCCGCGTGGAGCCCATCGGGCCCTGCCCCGGTCTCCGGGAGGGCGCCCAGCTCGGCGCAGCCCAGCGCCCCCAGGCCTGGGAGG